TCCAGTTTAGAAACGATTTCCAAGCACTGGCTTAGCTCAGTGGTACTGGGCTGGGTTGACCCGCAGTGGACCAGTCTTCCAATTCATTGTGTCTCTGATGTCTTTTATTGATTTTTTTTGTTTCACTCGATAGTGGTTACGGACACCAGCGGCGGCCGAGAATTACAGCGCATGTGATCCTTGTTGTGATCTTTTATTAGCTTTCGCAGTAAACCTATTTTTAACTAGTAGTAAATATTAGGTTTTCAAGAGACACTAAAGAGCAAAACAATTTTTTCGCGTAATAATAAAGTACAAATATCACAATAACGAAAGCATCTCTTACCGCGACATGACGCTTGGTAAGCGAAAAAAACGCGCGAAAATGCACCTCGAGACGCCACCGTAAAATTCTCGCACCAAACACCATGACGCAGTAAAGTCTGAAGAAGTCTACAGGGTCCTGCATAGCTTCTGCTCGATAAACATGAAGTATACAGTGCCATCTGTGGGTTATATAGACCTAGCATACGAAGTTTAAGAAATTTTGATCAAGCCAATGTGACGGCGATATGAAAAACGCATTCCGAAATTTGTTAGGCCACACGCGGATATTTGCGCGCGAAATTTGAAAATGATTCCTCAATGGCTTGATTATCTCCACTAATAATGAACCCATGACAGTGATACTTATCGAATTAGATTTACTAGATATCTCAGAATGCAGTTTATCAATCTAAACCTAGTCATCGTTTCTCTTCTATGTACATTTAACGTCCCAAAACCACAATGTGATTATGAGAGACGCCTCAGTGGAGAGCTCCTGAATACCCGACTGCACGGGCCACGAGCATTTTTGCCTGCATCGTAGCTCGCATTCGATCTGGCAACCTTCGGGTCACCAGTCCAACACCCACTGCTCTACCGCGGTGGTTGGAAAACAATTTTTCTCGCGATGGTAACTCTGAAGAAACACCAATATCACCACGCGTGGTAAGCGAGAAAACGCGCAAAAACAAGACGAAAGTGGTGACACCACCATGAAATCACTGCACCAATCGCTGTGATGACGCAGATATTTACGTCGTCTGTTAGGGTCCGTTGCTCATAATCTGTACAAGGGAAGTACAGTGTCAATTTTCATGAAAGGGAACACGAGAGCGCGTGGCCTGCGCGCTCCGGCGGCTGCTGACAGCGCATTCAAGCAGAAGCAAGAGCAACCACCGTCTGTTTTCGCGTCATCTCTGGGCGAGCAGAACAACCATTCGTTGCTGATATATAACGGGTAGATTGCGACCCCCTCCCCCTTCAAGGTGATTACCGGGTCTCGCGTAATCGCCTTGAAGGGGGAGAAGGTCACAATATTGCCGCTGATTGCATATCAGCAGCGAATGGTTGTTTTGCTCGCCGCGAGATGACGCGAAAAGAGACGGTGGTTGCTCTTGCTTCTGCTTGAATGCGCTGTCAGCAGCCGCCGGAGCGCGCAGGCCACGCGCTCTCGCGTTCCCTTTCATGAAAATTGACACTGTAAGTTGTCCTCTGAAGATAAGCCTTCGACTTAACGTAATTAAGTTCAATAAATTTCGTTGAGGCCTAATTTCACCAAAGTATAGGAAAAGTTCACTTCGAAATCTGTGACGTCAAGCGGGCAGATTCCGGGGCGAAATTTAAAAATGAAACTTTAACCTTGATTTTCTTTTGCGTTATTATGCGTAGTGAAATTAAGAAAACCAGTGATTTGAAAGCCCGACGTTTGAATGTAAACCGAGTGATTGTTTAACTTCAGTGTCCTTTTAAGAAGCTTGTGAATGCACTGGCGCTCTTCGGTCATCATAAATGTAATGAAGATTGTGCGCGTACGTTACAAGTATATTGCGTTCAGTGTGGCTCGGAAGACACGTGGCAAAGAAAGCAGATACCGAGTTACGCCGGCCATTAGTACAGGAAGCTATCTTCGACGCTCGCACGCGCGTCCACGGATAAACGCTGCACTCAGCTGAAATATGAAAGTTCACAATTAGTCTCAGTTACGCAGAATGGAACGCCTTTTTAATTATATGCTTGGGACTTCTGCCCACTCACTTCGTAGTAAAGTGCAATTCGTCACGAAGACCACGCACAGTGAATCCCGAAGTATAGGCTGGATCTAACAAACTGATCGCGTGACAAATGACACAGCAGCGCTGCTCGTCCTCTCCGACGCGCTGTGCTCGGAGACAGCATTGCAGCTGCTGTACCACTTGTCATGCGATCATAGAAGGCGGTGGTGAGCTTCGGGCTGGGCGGAGCCCAAGCGCCGTGACGTCGCTACAAGCGTCCCAATATGTCGACGGCGCCTACCCCGGTTTACAAACATTGATTGATTGATATGTGGGGTTTAACGTCCCAAAACCACTATATGATTATGAGAGACGCCGTAGTGGAGGGCTCCGGAAATTTAGACCACCTGGGGTTCTTTAACGTGCACCCAAATCTGAGCACACGGGCCTACAACATTTCCGCCTCCATCGGAAATGCAGCCGCCGCAGCCGGGATTCGAACCCGCGCCCTGCGGGTCAGCAGCCGAGTACCTTAGCCACTAGACCACCGCGGCGGGGCCCGGTTTACAAACATGGAATAGCTCTATATGCATAGTAAACTCACCGTACATTCTCACCCTAGGTGACCATATGAAGCAAGCCAAACAAAATATCAGAATCTACCTCTATCACTTCATTAAAGCCCACACCGTGCCGGCCACTGATGTAACCACAACGCTGCCAATTCCACATTGAAGAACGAGAAGTTTGAGAGTCTAAAAAAACGTGTTACAGCTATAGCGCAACAGATATACATGTAGTTAAAGAACACCTGTCGCCGCTATTTCATTTATAACAGTGAGTATCATCCCCTGCCTCCTGGACGTTCGTCATCATCACCCGATCACAATTGGTATTTTTCGGCCAGCGAAAGGATCAATCAAAGAGTCCGTAAGCATTCTTGCACAGCTGCTGAGAGGCTCGTCACGACGAGAGCACAGTGATAGTCACTTTGAAGTATGTAGAAATGACAACTGAAGAAATTTCCAAAAGGTTCGGCTGATTACGATGTTGGTGATTCCACTGAAAAAGATGGCGTTTCGACACTGAGGGCGCTGTTCAAAGAGACAGAGAGCTTGGGAATGCGGGAAAGTCAACTATATGCTTTGTATATAGTCCATGCCACCATACTTGTGGAGGGGGGAATGCGGAGGTATACGATCATAATTGTCTGCTATGAGACACAGCTGCAGTCTTAGCAGGTCTAGATTATCTCCAGAGGAGAAGACACTTTTCGAGCTCAAGTTGTGAGGTCGACATCATTGCTTTCCTTGGCTTGAACGCAGTTCTGAAAGTGTTGTAATTGAGATGAACTTCAGCAATGCTTTTCTAAACTATTTTGGTGCTACAATCTATGAGAAACAAGCGTTACCTATACCCACCACGTGACAAATATCTTCGCTTTCTAAGCACGTACACACCCCACACACACTGACGTATACCTGCTTCATCTACAATTCATTCAAATAAAAAAACGCCGCCGACCAAAAACTAAGCCTAATATAGAGCGCAGGCGTGGATACTGTGAAGTGTTTCGTATTCTGTTGTAAGCAAGCATCTAATCTCCCTTAAGAGAGAGGGAGATAACCAACATTTATGGGCGTCAACAATCACAACAAGGACGCAGCATCCTAGATAAGATGCTACCTTTCTCAATGATTACAATCTACCATCCCATTCACTTGGATCAACTGGCAACCACCTCTGTCTTTTGGGGGTTTGATGTCACCCAGTCTCTCTTTCTTTTCCCCATTTTTCCTACGTGCCACCACGTTTCCACACACCGGCATCCACTCAACGCAATGATCGCGATGCACGTGTGCTTGAAACCACTCACGCCCGCTGCTCTAGAGACTGGGCCACGGCGCCGTCTCTCGGGAGAATTAATCAAAGTCAGCGGCAGCTAAGCCATGGGGCGCTGAGAGGAAGCAAAAAAGAGGGCGACAACGTCTAGACGAAGTCGCACGTTGGCCACTTAGCAATTTGCGCTCACCAGTTAGGGTTTGCGAAACCAACAAGCGCAAACCTGTGGGTCTGCGCACCGCGCACGCACACTATATGCGTCCTTTATCCTCTGTAGCGTAAACCAAGAAAATAAGATCAATGCGCTTATTGAAGCAGCCAACGCTGCGCACACAGGACCGGCTACTGTTGCCGCGGACAAGCGTAAGCAACCCGAAACGGCGAGCCATCACGCACGCCAGTGTCTCGGTATTCCCGCCGCCGAGTAGGGAACAAGAAATGATCGAAAGGGCAGGCATGGAGGATAAGCTGGGAACAGCAAAACGTTCGGGAATGAGGAAAGAAACACCAAATAGAACTTCCTATAGCAGAACGAGCCGGTGGTCCACGCGTTAGCCGCACGGCACTGACGCCAGCGCGCCCTGGCGATTGTGGCGAGGAACGATGGGACCCTTTCTCGCTGCCTTTCCACTCATCTGCTCTCGAAGAACGACTGCTTCGGCGAGAGCTTTCACCTCCGCCTGCCTTTCTGTTCATCCCGAATATGCAACCTCTCTCGACGGTTCACACTAGCGAGAGGCCGCTTCCCGCACCTCCCTTCGTCTTCCCGACACGCTTTCCCTTCGGTCGATCGTTCCACCTTATTTCCCTCAGCGACGTCTCTCTCTTCCCTTCGGGATCGAAAAAGATACCCTCCCCGTGTCCGAGCAGCGAATTGGAGCAAGCGATTTCTCTTTTCTCCCTCTCCTCAACGGGAGAGAAGGCAGTGACGGCGTTCGATCAATGAAGTCGTCCCGGTTCGTCCGAGAAAAAAGAAACGGAGGCTGAACGCGCCGTCGCGACAGACTCGATATACACCGCCACCGTCGCCGCCGCGAGCAGCCGGCTCGGAGAAGATTCGCGCTCGGGCGGGGGTCGGCTGCAGCGTTCCGCGGCCGACAGCGCACATTGCCCGGGCCACACGAGCACTCGCCAACCAACATGGAAGCCACCGTTGACCTGCTGACCGGTGCACCGAGCGGAGCCACAGCCACCACGGCGAACGCCGGCGCGCTCGCCAACGCCACCTTGGCTCGGGACCCTCGCACCACAACATGGCCGCTCGCCGGCAACCCGCCGCTCATCGGCGCCCTCCTGCTGAGCTACGTGTACCTCGTCAAGGTTGGCGGGCCGCGCTTTATGCGCGACCGCAAGCCGTACAACCTGCGCCGCGTCATCCTCGTCTACAACGCGACCATGGTGCTTCTCAACGCATACTTCGTGGTCAACTTCCTGTCACGCTCCTACCTGGGCGGTGGGTACAGCGTGCTCTGCCAGGGAATCCGCTTCGACGCCGACCCTCGCACCCTCGAACTGGTGTCCCTGTGCTGGTGGTACCTGCTGGTACGCATCGCTGACTTCCTGGACACCGTGTTCTTCGTGCTGCGTAAGAAAGACTCGCACGTCTCCTTCCTCCACGTTGTTCACCACGTCCTGGTGGTCTTCAACGGCTGGTTCGGCCTCTCGTACGGGCCCGACGGCCAGGTGATGTTCTGCATCTGTCTGAACAGCTTCGTGCACGTCATCATGTACACCTACTACTTCCTATCGCTGCTGGGTCCGCACGTGCAGAAGCACCTCTGGTGGAAGCGGTACCTGACGCAGCTCCAGTTGGCACAGTTCATCGTCATCTTTGTGCACAGCACCATACCGCTGTTCAAGGACTGCGGCTACCCGCGGCCACACACGTTCATCGTGCTCTCCGAGTCTGTGCTCTTTTTTGGCATGTTCGTGCGCTTCTACCGCGGAGCCTACAAGAACAAGCAACCGGCAAAGGCGGCCTGAGAGCTAGGTGTACTTCATATGAAACTGGGTCCGAAAGTTTGTTTTATGATTATTATCATCATGGTATGGAACAGTATGCGCTGCCGTGTACGAGGCCAGTCAAAAAGCACTGCGGGAATTCTCAGTGATTAATTGTCTACATCAAGGCGTTCTTCGAATAGGTAGGGCAAAGGAAATGAGCTTAGAGCTGTTTCGTGCGAGATGCCGTCTTCAATTTCTTGGGCAGAGTAGCAGAGAAAGGTTTGCCGGTCACTTTACCATGCACCGTTAGCCTGTTTGAATGCTTTTTGACTATAAATTGTTATTTTTCTGTCAACGTGTTAGCTTATTTAGTACGATTAAATTACCACATCGATCAAATTCACGGGTTTGACAAGCTCGTATATTGTAGGCGTGTTAACGAATTGCCAGGCGTCTATGTAAACGAAGTTCCTTGAAATGACCTGGGACTTACATATTCTTGTACCCCTTTTTGACACAATCACTATGGTGGTTATAACGCATTCGTTAGCAAGCATCGGACACTTTATCATTGTCCTGGGTGATGCTGTTGCCAAAATGTGGAGGGGACGTCAATAATCTTTGCTAATCAGTTAGGTTTTTTTAATACTGAACGTCAACGTTAGGTCCAGCTTTACTTTATAGGACAGTGACTAACTTCTCATGATCACACCCAAACAGAGAAGGCTTGAGGCATTACTCTGTAACTTCGTAAGACACAGTTCAACCATATTTCCTTTTCAAGCAAAGCCTTAGCTCCACGCAAGCGTTATATTGTAATACGTTGTAGCTTACATGATTACTCAGGTAGCTCCGGAATAGAATGGGGGGGGGGTAGTAACCGTAAAGGGCCATGACAGGTTCTTTCAAGTACATGAAATAGTCATAGATAATGTTAATGAGAACTCATGAATGAAAAATTTTGAGCCTCTGTTTTCAGGAGCATGGTGAATGTTCTCTATACATTATTCCGCAGACGAATGAACTTAGGTATGTTTAGTGGACCTACATTTCAATACCCTCGCTCGGTATCACATGCTCTTGCTTCCTGTGGACCACGTGACTACATCGTATAGTTGACCGTCGTTGAAGCGAAGATAATGATCCCGAAACGTACATGAGCGATTTGTAGAGAAAACTACACTATAAAGCAACGGCACTCAGCGTCACGCCTGGTGAAGATGACCTAGGCGATGAAAAACCGTCAACAGATTAGCGAAAAGTGGGCCTCGAACAAATTCCACGAAGGATATTCGTTGATGAATCGTAAGTTCAGCGAGAGGGGCTTCTGCTGCACCAAAATTTCAATATGGTTCTGTCAAGATCCCACCACTACTCTGGGCCACATTGTCAATTATGCAAGGACTCTCAGTGGATCCTTATAGAGCGTTGCGAACATCAATTTAGTGGTAGATAAAAAGGTACAAGGGCACAAAAGGATTGGACACGGAACATATTATCCTCTGCTAGGCGTTGTAACAAAAGATGCCCCCATATTCTCGCGCCGAGAACGTTCCTGTATACTCTCCCATCGTTTTTTCAGGCACTTGTTGCAAGTACGTGACCCGGTTAACATGATATATACCCCGCTCATTTACTGTAAAAAAATGTGCACGGACTGTCGAGATGTCAGGGTAACACAGAAGTGGCCGAAGGCCTTCCAATATGCGGGGTACTATCAGGGCAGAGTGCGAATGACTGAGCGTGGAGCGTCAAATGTCCATCGAATGTTGACGGGTTCTTCTAAGCCGTATCAGAAGACGTCGCTGGGATGTAAAGGATACCCGATGTGATGGTGCGCCTAAAGTATCAGTGGTAAGCTAGCAAGTTCGACACGTCCTTCTCCGTACAGGACCCTTGTGGAAGCCTTTTGTATAAGCGTGTTGTGCCTCCTGTCAGACGCCGTTCCTGAAATACGGCGGCCCGCCAAAGCTTCTGTCCCTATTCGTCTAACATGATACGCCTGCGCGAGCACTGACTTCTGAAGGAAATGCGTGGCACTACTTCATGTCTTTCGAGCATACCAGGTGCGTCACCTCCCGGAGGGTCCTCGCGTCCGACACTGACCAAGCCAGAAAATGCCTTAGCGTATCACGCTACAGGGCATGCTTCTGTTTCTTCATTCTAGGTGTTTCTAGGTCTTAACGCCAACAAAAAAATGTCGCTGCTTTGCTTCCATTCAGGAGCCGAGCTTTAGTCGTGATAAAAGAATTGCCATGCTGTGAGGCACACACTGTGTGCGCTTGTGCGTGTGTGTCTGGTTGTTGGACTGATGCGCGACATAATACATATGTATAGCGAGTCATTGTATGTGCACCTGTTTTGTGACCTATACGTGATGTTGGTTAAAATGAAAGAACACCGATTCTTCAGTGCGTCTGTTGTGGTCTTTCCGATAACAACCGTCGTGGGCACTGGCTTGGTTTGAAAGTGCTCATCAACGTCTGCAGGTTCACCAACTTGGTTCACTACTTGTACAGATTGCAAGGCAGCCAGTTTAATTATTTTCCTACTGCAAACCAAATGAAGAATAATTAAAGTTTCTCGGTGTAATTTCTTAGTGTTATATAAATGTACAGCGTCACTATTGCAACCATGATCCGACTGTTCTCTTATGTAGTGTAATCCAATTAGAGTAGCAATGAAATTTAAGAAAAATGTTACTACAACTTTTACACATGCTTGAGCATGATGCTAAAACAATTCACGAAACCAAATGCTAACAATCAAGCTTCAATCTACTGTAATTCATTTGTATGAAACCATGGGGATGCTTTGCACGTAAAACTTTAGTGAGCAACCACTGAGGAGCTCATTATTAAATATAGTGAATGGGGTGGCTGGAAGCGGTAATTGTCCCCCTGAATACATAACTTATGTGCCAAGGTAGTTTTTACGGACCACCCAGTGCTGAACTTTAAAAAAAGCTATAAGCTTAATTTTGAACTCCGTATATTTTATGTCAAGTCACCCTGATTACTTCAATACAGTAGGCCGTGGTAAAACGAGGTCCTTCACCGATGTGCCATCGTTAAAATGTCCGAACTGCACTTCCTTTGTGTGTGTGTGTGCGGGGGGGGGGGGGGACGAGCCTATTGACTTCCAATGTGCGAAGCCTTTATTAGCGAACTTTGACTACATTGAGCGTATCTATCTATCTATCTATCTATCTATCTATCTATCTATCTATCTATCTATCTATCTATCTATCTATCTATCTATCTATCTATCTATCTATCTATCTAGCCGCCTACGACTTTTAGCTTTCCTGGCTGTTTGGATAATGGTGTCAATACCAAACTTGGTATGGCATAACATTACTGTATGAAGAACATATTTGACCAGTCACAACATGAAACTTATGACATGTATGTCATGAATTTCATGATTTACATTTCATGGTCCTGCAGCTCTTGCGGTGGTTTCATTCACATGGAATGTTGCAAAACTGGTATGGTAAGATAATTTACCTGGCGAACACAAGCGGCAGACCATAACACGAAAATCATGACATGCGTGTCATGTAACAACATGACTACATGCCACGCTCATGACACGCAGGCGGCCGTTTCGTCACCTTCACATGTACCAAATTCAGTATTACGTGACGCAAACGGAGAGCATAGGTAAATGACACATCCAAACATGATAATCACCACATGCGTCTCATGTAACAACATGACTACATGCCCCGCTCATGACGCGCTCGCGACCGTTTCGCTAGCGTCACATATACCGAATTTGGTATTACAATACGTGAATGGATGATGAAGGTATGATGCTGGTGCGAACATAATAAACATGAGATGCGTGTTATGAAACTACATGTCTACATGCTACACTCATGACGGCCATTTCGCTAGCTTCACTTATACCAAACTTGGTATTACGCGACGCGAACAGACGACATAGGTAAATGACACATCCAAACATGACAATCACGACACGCGTGTCATGTAACAACATGACTACATGCTCCACTGCTGATGCGCTCGCGGCCGTTTCGCTAGCTTTACATATGCCGAATTCGGTATTACGTGGCGCCAATGGATGACGAAGGTATGTGACTGGTGCAAACATGATAACCCTGACACGCGCGTCATGTAAGAAGATGACAACATACCACCCTCATAGCATTCTCGTGACTGTTTCGCTAGCTTCACATATAATAAATTTGGTATCACGTGACGTGAATAGATGAAGAAGGTAAACGACAAATAAAGACATGATAATCATGACACGGAAGATATGTAAGGCATCATTTACCTCCACCTCGCAACGTTGTGCTGATTTTAAAGTGACATATCAACATTTCTCATTCGTGCTTCACATATCATCGATTCCCACCGTACGTGGGATCTTCCAATCTTTTTAAACTTACACAACAGAGACAGTGTGTTTTCAAGCAGTAGATGCTCTATAATGGAGCCCATTAGTTTAGCGTTTTTTTTATTTTAGAAGACATCATTTGGGGCTACATATTTTGCGAGTTCATCAGAGACGTGCGATGAAACTTTTCATTGCACTGTACAACCACGTAATTGTCACTTAGCTAGTTTAATAATTAATTACACCGTTGGGCTCACCTACAGAGTGATTCATTCCTATCTCTTATAGAAAGCAAGGTGGTACTAGTTTCAAGCACACCGATCACGCCCGAACCTCATGCATCAATACTACTAGACCCGAATTTCTTCGGTGCCTCAGGAAGCTTTGGGTGGAACCCAGTTGCGTTCTTTCCCCCCCCCCCCCCCTGACCCTTGGCCCCTTTTTAAAGCACCTCTATCAAATCTGTTATTCCTCATTTCATAACCGTGTTTTGGAGGATGGGCAACGCTTTTTATTAATGTAGAAGCGGTTGCGCGACCCTGAAACGGTCGATCTGTACGTCAGTACACTGGAGAAGAGAAAAAGAAAAACATCAAATGAGGCTGCCGTGACAACGTTAGAAGACCAAGTGTATATAACATAAAACAAATAAGTTATCGCATCGATTCTCGAGAGCCACGAGTTAATGTCATCGTAGCAATGGAGTTGTGCAACTAACGTGCTCAAGAAGTGTTGCAACTAACGTTGCAACACTTCTTGAGCACGTTAGTTGCAACACTTCTTCAACGTTAGTTTTCAACGTTAGTTAAAGGGGTTGTCAATTTCTCCCTGCTTGGAGATGAAATATGGTTAGTGTAGAGAACTAACGTTGCAACACTTCTTGAGCACGGTCAGGAAACGCCGCCGATAGGGTGTCGAGTCTTTCAAGAAAAGGCGAGCCAAATAATATAGCGCAGCACGCGGCCTGACATTCGCATTAAAATTCTGAAAGGCAGCTGAAATTTGTTTTTTCTTCTCTCGACAAGTGACGCTACATGCTCAAAAGTTACTCCTCACAGCCATCGTACCAGCCATTGGCTGATTTGAGCATGGCGTACTCGCTCGTTACTGGGGCCCAAGCGGAGCCGCGACTTGTCCACGCGTGCACGCGCATTTGCCCTGAAAAGCAGCGTATTCAACGAAAAAAACGGAAAAAAAGTCGCTCAAGGTCGCGAGGCATGCATGAGGTATCTACTCCCGTGACATCCCTCTCTTCTTAGCTTCCAGCGCTTTCGTCGGGATGAGAGAAGAGAGAATGCAATTGCAGCGTGCTACAAATCATTATAGCTCCCCTCGCACTGGATGGATTATAAAAACTTCTGCGGCAATGAGTTTGAGAGGCTATAAGCTCAATTCGTGGGTATATTCCATGGCTACTTCAACAACTGTTGCAGGGCTCCTCTAACGACTAAACC